AATTAGTTATTTTTTAGGTGTGTGTTTGTGCAGAGAGTGAGTGATCTTTTGGGGTGGATGGGTGTAGGTGGGTGTATGTATTTTACACCCCCCCCATTTCAAAGGTGTTTGTGTGTGGTGGGAACTGGTTGTCTATTTAGTTATTTAGAGGTATTAGTTTTCATGCTCCTTCCTCCCATTACTCTTTAATATTAACAGCAAGAACAACAACACCTTCAACCCAGCCCCACCATCCTGTTTCTCTTTTTAAAGAACTAAAATTTATTATGATACCCTCTCCTATATTATACCACTTACTTTTTCCTTTCCTCCCCTTTATTTGAAGTGTGGTTTAGGAGGCAGCAAGATACATATTGAGCAGGTAGATATGAAGGGCAGTGGGATGTAAGGAGGAAAAGGCACCATTCCTCCTCCACAGGCTTTGCAGGCAGGCTTGGAAACAGAGGAGGTGGCCACTCGTCTTGTCGCTGAGATGATTGCCCTGCTTGGGCTTCCACTGTCCCCGACCTTCTTTTGGTTGCTGAATTTTTTCACCACATGGTACACACACCCCCATGGAAACCCATCTGGAGTCCTGCTCTTACTCTATGACTCTGGGCAGGAGGTGGCCCATAACCAGTTTTAATGGGCACAGGAGCAGAAGCTACACTTCTTGTTTGACCTGTGGAGTACCTCTCACTCACAGCCCACTGGTGGCAGCCGGAGGACCGGCACGGCATTGGCAACAGGGCTGCAGGGGGAGACCCTTGTCCTGCCACCAGGCTACAGGTCCGTTCTGCTGCAGGGGTGGCACATGGAGGCTTAGGCAACAGGGAGAAACATCGCCAATGAGTTCCTGGCAGCACTGCAGCAGTGGCCACTTGAGGGTGAGGTCATCCATGGATGCTTGGCACAACATGTTGGCGACACTGAATGTGGTGGGCTTCGAGGGCATAGTGTGCATGGCATATAAGTTACACCTTGTGCATGATGCCATTGGCCTGGGGAGCCACATCAAGCTCAAGGCAGGCACCTGGGAGATGCAGAAACTCCTGGAGCAATTATGCCAACTTGTGGGCCATTTCTCACACAGCCTGAAAGCTGCCTGCCAGCTGAATGAGAAGCAGGAGGAGTTAGGGCAGGAAACACATGTTCTCCAGATGGACCTGCCAACCAGGTGGAAGTCCACCAACACCATGGTGTCCCACCTGGTTGTGCAGAAGACTGTTTTGGAGGATATTATGCTCTCCACACCCATTCTACCTGAGGAAAGAGAGGTGGGCATTAGTGCCACAGATTGGTTGGCAGTCTCGCAGTTGGTGGAGGTGCTCAAGCCCTTCGAAGAGACCACTGATGTCATGTGTGGTCATACAGCCAGTCTGGGGCAGGTCATCCCCTGAATCATGCCATTGACTGGTCCCTGGAGTTTGGTATGGTGCAAAACCTTCCCTCCTTCCATGGACCAGGACCTTGGTGAAGAGATTGCAGGCAGGCGTGTGAAAGTGACTCCATCCTGTCTGCAGGGACAGAGCTTGTCACATGGCCTGCCTGTGTGATCCTCCCATCAAGGGCAGCATGCACTGCAGAGCTTGAGGAGCGGAGAATGGAGCTTTCCACTGAGGTCTGAAGGGCACTGGTAACCTGACATGTGCACGGGGAGGTGGGGATGCCAAAGCACAAGTCAGACGAGGGGAAAGATGGTTCGCAGGAGCCACAAGCAATGACCTCTGCTGGCAAGGGCCCTAGCCCCCATTATTGAAGTTCAGTGGTGAGCGAGGTGGTTGTCACAGGGGGCAGACAGATGGAGGATGAGGACCCAAGCAGAGTCCATGGTGCTGGAGTACCTGGCAGAGCCCCCATGATCAGATCCTCTCCAGTTTTGGACTTGGAAAATAGTCATAAGGCCAGAGCTGTCCATGGTGGTCATGAACCTCCTCTCCATTCCCCTCAAAAGTGTCCAGAGAGATCATGTCTTCTCCCATCTCGGAGAGGTGCTCTAACCGCACCACTCCCATTTGGATCCCGTAATTGTGGAGAAACTGTCCTTCATCAAGGTGAACCTTCCCTTGTTGAATTTTCCCTTATTAAACACAAAGAGGTAGGGTTTCAATGACAGTAGCTCTGCCTCCACACCACTGCCTGTCTGTCTGCCCACTGGAGTCCCCCAGGTCCACCACATCATCTGCCTGCCTCTTTCTGTCCCACTCAGAGCAGAAACTGAACTCAATGCCACCAATGGAAGAAAGAAGCCTGTCTGCCTCAATGTCCCACCCCGCCAATCCAGCAGAATCACACCAGTACTTTGGTTGCCTGATTCCCACTCTCTCCCACATCCTAGTTCCATGTGGCTCATTTCTGCCTCTGTGCCACCAGGGAAAGAAATAAACCTGTCCCACCCCACTAATTCAGGGGGAAGAAGAAGAAACCTGCCCACCAGCCAGTCACCAACCCCCAAACATCCCCAAGGCCATATCTGTTCCAAACACCTCTGTGCCTGGAAGCAAACTAAAGCATCTCAGTTGCCATCCCTATCTCAATCCCATCCACCTCTGATCCTGGTGGCAAACAAAAGTACATCTATTCCAAACGCCTCCATGCCTGGTGGCAAACTTCCCCAATGCCATCCACCTCTGTGCCTGTTGGCAAACCAAACTACCTCAATGGCATCCATTTCTGTGCCTGGTGGCAAAACATACTACCTCAATACCATCTGTCTGTGTGCCTGGTGGCATACTGAAGTATGCCAATGCCATCTGCCTCTGTGCCTGGTGGCAGACTATGCTAGTTTCCTGTCACTTTCCTAGGGAAACCCAATTCATGGGTGTATAACTCATACACCTGAAATCAAGATTTCACCAAATATGAAGGGCCTGTATAGGCGAGTCAGGGGAAGCTTCTGTGTGATTTTGGTGTCTCTAGGTGCCTGGGGAGCTGTTTTATAGTGTTTTAAAGACAATTCAACAAAGCAATTCATCAGTTTGTTGGGGGAAATCATAAATTCACAATTCATGATTTGTAAACCTTGATGAATCATGAATTGCAACGAAATCCCATTTTTTTAATTAATGCCCATCTGTAATTCCAACAATAGGATAATGAACAAGGGTATTCAAACCTTCTTGGCCAGAAATAGTAGTTGTTCCTTGTATGTACCCAATTATGTCTAATGACATTTGCATTTTTCCTGCTGTCAAGACAAGGCAAGCTTCAAGTTGATACTAACAGTGTCAAACAGTGACAAAAATTTCCATTTTAAAAAAACCAGCTCCAGGAGCTGACTGTTCATTTTGTTTCATACCGAGGTGGAGTTCAAGCATGAAGGGTTTCTTTGGTCAATGCTAATCCATTTATGGTAGAGGGACGTGGTGGTGCTGCGGGTTAAACCACAGAAGCCTCTGTGCTGCAAGGTCAAGAAGACCAAGCAGTCGTAAGATTGAATCCAAGCCACGGAGTGAGCTCCCGTTGCTTGTCCCAGCTCCTGCCAACCTAGCAGTTCGAAAGCATGTAAATGCGGGTAGATAAATAGATACCACCACGGTGGGAAGGTAACGGTGTTCCATGTCTAGTCCACGTGACCACGGAAACTGTCTTCAGACAAAAACGCTCACTCTATGGCTTGGAAACAGAGATCAGCACCGTGCCCTAGAGTTGGACATGACTGGAATAAATGTTAAGGGCAACCTTTACCTTTACCTAATCCATTTATGACCAAAAAATGAAACTCTAGCATAAAATATTATTTCCTAAAAGGTCTCAAGGTTTTTTCAATTTTTCCAAAGTTCTAGTCTGAAAGAAAGCTGATTTCTAACAAAGATTAGGAGTGGAATAAAGCTCCAACAAAAATAGTTCAGACTGAAACCTTTCAGTGTTAGTTCTAATCTACTAAAGCGTAAACTTAAGCAAAACAAAAAGCAGAGGTTATGATTTTTAAAGAGTTTCCTCTGTTTTCTGAAGAGTTGGTATGAGAGGTAGCCAATGTCAGGAAACTTGGAATTTCCAGGACAGGAAGTCTAAGCCTAAAGGTTCTAGCAGTGGTCCAAATATCTTCTCTCAGTACTGCACCCTTCTTCCTCTCCCTTTCAGAGATCAACTAGATCACCTAAACATCTTGGAAAGCCATGTGCTTTAAAAATGAAAATGGTGAAGTCTCTGGATCCTGGAGGCTGATGCATGAAGGACAAGGATAAATGCGGTTCCAATGGCACATGTACAGACAAACTCTTCTTGTATTTTCATTTCTTCTTTGCTTTCCTGATTTCAGAGGAATGTGCTTATCTTAGCTTTGGGACACCTCTTTCCCTTAGGTAATAAGTGCTACAGATTCAGCTGAGATTACTTGCTTTTCATGACACCTCAACATTCATAGTGATACTTCATCTGACTGCTATGTGGGCTAAAGTACTTAGACCACATATCAGCTTCTCCAGATGAAGGGGATGGATAGCTGAGGAGATATCTAGATAACTGTTTGACTGAGGGGTCCCTCCACTCCCCAGAATGGGCTTAAATCCGTCAGCCTTACTACAACAAGTATGCTTCATAAAGCTGAGACAAGGTAGTCCTGTGCAGGTATAAAAGCTGTATGTACAGTATGATGTACAGAGACCATAATGAACCAGTGTGATTAAGATCATGCACTTAACAAATAACAAGTACAAGCCAGGGGAGAAAATACAGACATAAACTTAAAGGCAACAGAGCTTGGAAGTAAATTAGTGTTCTTACTACCCTGTTCAAGTAACAAGAGCCCATGTCATCACAATACTTAAAAGAGAAGCAAAATCACCAACAATGTTAACTTGTTACAAGAGGGTCAATTATTTTTAACAATTTTTTAAAGGGTAACCAATTGTCAAGGAGACATTAATAATGTGCTACATTACTCATTTGTAATAAGCTACCCGCCAGAACTATCTGTTAGAATTAGCTAATAATTATTTAGTCATTGCTTGCTTTGAAAAGAAATCATTCCAAGCTCAAAATGGGAATAGTTAATTTAATACAGGAAGCATAATATTTACCCTACTGTTTCGTTTACTAGTCTTGAAAAATCCCAGAAATCGTTTTTTTTCTTTTTCTGTTGTGTCGTGGATAGTTGAAGAATTTCTTGTTTCTGTAAAACACATGATTCATTGTAACTCTTCCAATCAAACACAAAGAATCAATTAAAGAACAAAGAATTCGACCTATTAACTATCTGAAGTCATTATCTGCTTGGACATACTAACCTTATCTCTGTTATGGTAGCATGAATAAATTAAAGTGGTGCAACTAGAAATGAGCTTTTGGGCCACAGTCAGGGGCACTCGCAGTCCAGGGCCTCCAGCTGCCTACCAAGACAACAGCAGACCATGGCCGAAAGTCCAGTGTCAGCACCTGGGCTGGCTGGTGCATTCCAAGGATGACATTGCATCTTGTAACATATTTTTCTTTGAAAATATTTCATAGGCAGCAGGTTGCTGGCCTAGTACGTTCAAAGCAAAAAGAATTTACTTTATTACGTATCGACATAGCAATAGCAGTTTATTTTTCCCTCTAAAATGTATTTTTTTTTCATATAAAAACAGTGCTGATTCAAAAGTAAATTAGCTCAGCAATAGGGCAGCTGAAACAAACGGTTTTATTTTTACATTCATGAGGGTTCTATTATTTAAATGCCAAGCATTATGCTTAAAAATCTTTCTTATCAGGGTTAGGAGACAGGTTTTTTGTTTCTCTGCACGATTGTATCAAGAATGTAGAGGCGATTAAAAAGGATGAAATAGCTGGGTGTGAGAGGAGTATTGGTTGTGTGCTTCAGAATTGAGATAATATACATAGCCATCTAAAAGTGTTTTGGTTAAGTCTAATAAGCTGAGGATCTAAAATTACTTACCTGGACCAATATGTACTCTCAAGAGAGAAATAACATAAAACATTTTTCCAAGTTACTGATTTGGACCCAGCTTCAATGTAAAAGCGTACATTATTATTATTATTATTATTA